ATTTCAGGTCAATCCCTATTGCAACGTTCCTGTTACTATTGTTGTCATTGCATTATATTCTATTGTACATCTAATCATTATTGTTGCAATTGCAATGTGATTATCTGTTGATGCTTTTCCATAGAATTTGATAGGTTACTGATAGGAGAAGGTCATTGCAATTGTAAATTTATTGGTAGAACTGCTTTTTGTTCATATAATAATTCAAATAGCTCAAATTTCGTTATTTTTTGCTGTGCTGTACGATATGCAAAAAGTGCTGAAGTTAAATATGTATCCCATTCTCCATAATGCTGTTCAGCATACTTTGCAAAATTATACATAATGTTCTATTAAAATGCTCTGTCAAGCCATTAGTCAAAGGATGATATAGTGAAAATAATCTATGTTTAGTTCTAACTATATGCAATAGTACAGTAATTAATTTAGTTTGGAATGATATTGCTTTATCAGTTAATATCTTTTTGGCATTCCATGTTGACAGATGATTTCATTGTACATAAATCGCACAGTTGTTTGGGCAGTACGATCTGGTATGACGTTAGCTTCAACCCATTTAGTTAAATATTCAGTTGCTACTATGATATACCGATTTTCTTTAGTAGTACATGAAAGTGGTCTTATATAATCAATTCCAACATTCACAAACCATTCTATTTATATAAAATAATTTACATAGAAAGATAAAAACTAAAATATTATACATGTCTAATAAATCAAATATATCAATTATATCTAACTTGTCTAATATATCCTATTTGTCAAACATGTCAGATATATCATATATGTCAGACATGTCAGAAATGTCAGATTTTAATCATCTGCACCACATAGATCCTATCATATTTTATTCTTTTACACCATCGATTTTGCAGTGAAATCTAGTTTTATGATCTTCTGCTAGAAGATGCTACCTTACAAATGCCAATGAATGATTCTTAGATCCTTCTAGAAAATGTACAGTACAGTCATACCTCTCTATAGCGAATTTTTATATAACGAATTTTTTGGACAACTATATTAAATTTACCCTCATTATAACGAACTAGCCAATCAAATTCTTTAAAAAATTCACTATAGCTCTATAGCGAAGTTGAAGTTCAGGACATAAAATTCGTTATATCAAGGGTTGACTGTATGCTCAAAATAATATTAAACAATTCCAAGATTAGTTTTTTTAGTATTTACGTGTGTGAATTGAGATAGAATTTTAGACAATTGAATGTACCTTTTAGAGTATGATGATCTGAAAACTTCAGAACCAAGTCGTAATCACCCATGAATATTCAATTTATCTTTAAAAATACCAGTATAACTTCTAGATTAGCAACATGAATATTTGATAATACTACAAAATCTTTGTTATAGGCATTGCAATAATATTCAACTAACAAATCTAATATTTTTTTTGATAGATTTGCATTTATTCTTTTAGGATTAAGAAAAGTACTCAGAAAGGATTCTGAACCTGTTCTAGCCATTTTCTCAACATTTCTAGATATTGATAAAAATTCATAATAGTCTATTTTATCGAGTTCATCTTGAACTGTAAGACTAATGGTAGTCTGTTTTGACGCTTTCAAAGGTAAACAAGCCAATAAATGTTGATGGTCCTGAGTATATGAAGAAAACTGATCAAGCAGGGAATTATATTAAATGGTTTTCAATAAATCTGGCTCAATTTTTCTATTACTGGTATGGTATGAGCCTTAAATATAAAATAATTTAATAAATATGAAGTAAATATCAGTAAATTTGATAGAAATATTATAATTATTCAATAAACTATTCATCCTTTCATAACTAAAGCATCAAAATGCATATAACGGACTATAATCTAAAGCATAATTGCAAATGTGTAAACATTAATGTAAACTTAGTGAAATTTTTTCTGGACTATAATTCTTCTCGATAATCTTTACTATTATTAAGAGTCGTTAGTAAGCATCTTCTAACCCATTTTTAGACACAGTTCTGCATATAAAAATATTAATGTGTGAATAAAATTGGTAAAAATTACTCTATCTGATTCTTGAAGCAGATCTCAAGTAATCATAGTTGCATACACAAGAATGAAAGTTTTCTACTGATCTGCGGTAAAACTGAAAACCCCTCTCCTATATCAATTCTATATGAAATCCTGCCAATATCTGCTGGAATTTTTATTAGCTTAGCCCTATTTTGCATTGTTTTAAGATCATTTTATTTCAATTGACCTTCTTCAATCCATAATCATATTATGATTTATTTTGCAATACCTAGAAACAAATAATGCATAGGATCAATAATGAGAAATCAGACTGAATCAAAATATGTAAGACAGTACATTTCAGACCAGTGTATTGAAGTATTATGTATATTGATAATTCTAGCATCTTTAGTATTACAGCCCAACCATTCTTATGCATTTTTTCGAACTTGATTGATATTCTTTTCAATAAACTATTCATCAATATACCTAAATCTACCAAAATTTGGTTGATTACAATCATTAAATTGTGCCTTTTTAAACATCTATAATAAATCACGCCTGCAGATATATAACTGCAAAGCTTTCTTGCAGCTGGGATATCACAAGAACAGCATATTACTGCAACTCTAATAGGCTTATTAGTACTTTTATATGTTGCTGATAGTTCAATCCCATTTTATAATTCAATCAATTGATTGACTATCGGACCCAAATAATAATTTATACAGTATAGACTTAGCTCATTTGGATCAGAGATCAAAGTTATTGTCAAATGTTCGATGGCTGAAACCTTTCACGTTGTGAAAGGTTGCATATTACATTATACATAGCTCTTACACTATAATTGGTATTATCGAATGGCTGAAACCAATCGATATTTAGCATAATTCCCAGATATCTATCAACTACTTCTTTCTGAAAAAATGGTATATTTTGGTTTTAGTCCCAGAATGTTTTCCAAACTCTTCTATTGTAAATATCATTTAAATATTGAGAATTATATTCTGATCTGCCCATTTCCTGCATGATTCCTTAAATCCTTTTCGATTGTACATCAATTGTAATTGGTATTTTAAATTAACTATTAGATATATTAAAGAAGGCCTATATAATGCTTTGTCTATACTGTAAACTGTTTTGGTAAGTTTCGCTATACATTCTTTTCTTTAATTTGCCATTGGATGGTTTGATAAATTGATATAAGTACAATAGCTTTTAACTGGAGATTGAGTAGGCTTAGCGGTTGATATCTCCGCTATATTATATAATTTATAGCATTTTTCACATGTTGCATATTTTACGATATGAGCACATATGCTAAATATTTTTCGTGCTATATATAGTGATATGGGAAAAGCATTATATATATTTATGTTCATAAGAATCAAAAGATATCTAAAAAATTTAATTAAAGAATTAGTAGCAATATCAGATAACTTATACCTCTCTTGATACAATAAAATCTATAAGTCAATCCAGTTAGAACTTTCGTTAAAATCAACTATAGGTTTTTCAGAATCATTATATACATCTTTCATTTCCAGTGTATCAAAACCACTGGATAAATAAGATTCATTCGAACTTCCTTCAATAGAATCAAAATCACTGTCATCCAGATTGTTGTTATTATTATCATCACAATTATCAGAAATACTATGTTTAATAATAACGACAGGATTCTTTCTAATATCACCACCATCACCATCACCACCACTATACCTTTTTGTTTTTCTTTTAAATCGCCTTTTGGTAATTTCTTGGGAAGAAATGAATAGTTTTCAATAGGTTAAATAAGTTTGAATGTTTGATCATTAAAGTGTCAACTTCTATAGGATCATTCAAAGATTACCAATATATCTTGACTTAGATCATTAGGTAAACTTCAATTTGGAACTATATTTTTGATAATTCCTTTCGGTCTAATATTTTTTTTAAATTATGTTTTTTTTCTGTATGTGAATCAACCAAGCAACCTTTGCATTTATCACAATAATAATGTACTTTCTTCACTTTACTTTTATTATTGTCAATGATATTTTATTAGATTTTTTTATAAAAGATTTTTTTGTTTTTCGATATGTTTTTGGCATTGTAGTTAATAATTTTTTTAAAAAAAATATTGAGATGATATATTTACATTTGTTGTACAAAAATCATATATATATATGTTTACAAGATAGTATATTTGGTATTAAGTTTAATTGACATAACTTTAATAAACATCTAAATAAGACAATTAAATGGTAGTCTAAATATAAATATATTTATGAATATAAATTGATTGATTTTCTAATGTTGATAAATTAATTTTCTATTTCATTGAATTGATTTTATTTGACTATTAATCAAAAAAAGTGGTAATATTTATTAGTATGAAAAAAAAAATCATTCTTTTTTTTTTAAACTATATTTATTTTTCTCTTGGTTAAAAATGCGCGATCAAAAATCATTCAAAATTAATACAATAAGTCAACGACATTTAAGATCATATTATACAAATTCACAAAGTCGCTATTCATCAAGAATAAATAACCAAAATACTCTCTTAATTCATCAAATTCTTTACCAAGAAAAAAATACCCTCATTTTTTATCAGAAAAGAAAGATTTAAGATACTTTTATTACTTGTCAAGTCATTCATCAAGGTAAAAAAGTATATATTTATAAAATCTACATTGAGAACCTAACAATCTTTAAGGATCAGAAAGGGTTGTACACCAAGTACTAGAAGAAATCATTCGCCAAGTATTTAAAGGAGATATTCATTATTTGTTTGGAATTCAAGAGGTCGTTATAACGACCACTCACCATTCATCAGAAATCTAAGAGGTCATGATAATGACTATTCACTAATCATCATGAATTCGAAAAGATTTAGCAATAGTTGTTCACTAAGAGAATATGATAATATTATGGTTTAGTTGATATTTTTTAAAAAAAATATATTTTTACTATTAATGATATTAATTTACAGTAATCAAGGCCCTAAGTAGAACCGTCAACGTACTTACAGAAGAGGTTTGAAATATCAAGGCAGCCTTTTTTTAATCACACTGTCTCCTTTAAAGAACAAGTCAACTTGAGCATTAAAGAAAGCTTGAATGTCAAAGGATTTCCACTTTGGTGTTAGATCCAACAAAAATTGTTTTGCTAATACTTGAGGATATTGTCTAACCACCTTATCATTATCTAGCAAAAGGATTGTTCTTGCCACACTTGCCGTTCCAAGGATCATATTATTACATTCATTAAGAGCTTTACAAAAATCGGTAAAAGTAGCATTAACCGTTATTGGGGTAACTAGTATGATTACATTGGTTATTATTTCCCCTGCTGCCTTAAAAGCCTTTTCTGCTTTAGTACATAAAACTTTATCCAGAACTCCGCAATAAAAATCAAATTAAAATGCTTTTTTTGCAGCCAAGGAATTGATTTCATCTTTTTGTGATTCTTTGCCTACATCTGCCATCAGTTTACTTTTTGTCTTTTTTTTGCAAACCACATATTGAAGAGATTTTTTTCTCAAACGGCTTATGTGGATTTGGATGTTCCCAACACTTTGCATCTACTATTATTAGGGTTGGTAAAAGTCCTAATAAGTCCTAGTTGGTCTTTAAGAATTAAAAGATAATTTTAATTTGTATACTATTAATTAAATTTTTTAATAATAAATTAATCTTTTTAATAATTATTATATATCAATTATTTTATTAATTTA